CCCCAAAAACCAAACTTAATACAGCCAACCTACCTCTTCGCAAGGGCATACTTTGCACAACGTTAGAAATAAATGTAATGCTTTTGCTTAATAGTAGTTACATTTGCAATGCAAAATTTGATCTACATGAAATTACATATGATTAGTATGCATGTATGTATAGAGATCATAATATGCATGCACGTACATCATTTTACAATCGTCTATTTCCGATCAGTGACTATTCTAGAAACCGTACCTACCCTTCTCTTCCCATTAAAAAAAATCTTTCATTGCAACATCATACACATCATAAAGCACATCATCATATACATACACATCATCCAGTGCGCAAATTATTTTTCTAGAACTTTTGAGAGACATTCTTCTCCGCACACTACAAGGGATAAAATGCTTCTGATACGTTCGGTTTCTTTTTCTGCGTTTTACATTTATTTTCCATTTAATTACTCTGTATAATTTATTTCAGAATAAAAATATTGAGATAATAAAACGGCATTGGCTCACTATAATGCTATAATGCTTCTGATATTCATCGAACCTGGGTAATTGTGGCAATTTTAGAGCTAAACTGTGAAGCTCAAGTTTGAAGAATTGGCGCATATGGAGAAAATTCCTGCCTTATTAGCTCCTGATGGTAATTTATGCGCCTACCATAGTGGGAACGAGCATTGGAAAATAAAGACTCGATTCAAAGAGGGAGCTTGGAAACGGCTATTATATCTTGGGAAGGCAGCAGGCAAATTACTCCCCTTCAGTGTGAGGAGGGCAGGTATTGGAGTGGGTATGATTCTGACCTGTTAGCAAGAATCTATGAGAGGACAAGTGTGGTCCCAGCAGCCGCGGTAATTCCACCAGCTCAAAAGGTCCCACACAGCAAATATGGCTTCCAGATAGAAAGTGATGATAGCACTTATTCTGTGCTGACCTCCTGTGAAGCTATAATTGCTGTAAGTTTTTCAGTTTTCAATTACAAAATGTAGAGTTGCTTTCTTTGAGTTGTCACTTTGTCCCTTTCATTATGGCCTTCTTTCAAATTCAGTACTTGACTTTCTGTTACAGGAAAGTTCTCATATTTTCATTGGTCACAAAAGCCAGCAGAAGTAAATAAAACGGTTGAAAGTTGGCTTAGAATTAGGGAATGCGAGGCTGATTTGAATCAGGGCTTTACATGAGCTGCTTGCAGCGATTCAGAAAAGAAAAGGTTTGGAATTAATAACGATGCTTTCAGTCACCGTTACATATTCTTAAATATAAGAATTTAATGAGGTTTTTTGCACTTTTCTGGAAAGCGTAATCAATGAGGTATAAAATTATTGGGAATGAAAACATTTAGGCAAATCTTTTATCATTTTATCACTCCTTTCAGACATATATTACGTAATCTGAAGATGTGAAAGTAGAAAATGGGTTGATGCGCCTCTTTTTGGTGGATGCAAAAAACAGTCGATAGAATCGAGAAAACTTCTGTGCGATGAATAGCAAGAGGGATGCAGCCTAGTTTGTAGTTAAGAATGTTTTTTATTTATGAAATCGCAAGAAGGCACTTATGACAGTTTTGAGAAATTAATTGCGCAGATAAGTGCCTTCTCACTTAATTTAAGCAATGGAATTATTTGCTGCACACTGTATTGTATGGAAA